TTTCTCTCAGGCCGGAGCCGATAAACGCCTGACAACCACTGGCAGCACACCCACTCTAGTGGAGTCTGGCTTGGAGACAGAGCTAGGGCACAGTCATAGAAGGGTTGCAGAGGTAAAAGCAGCAAAGAGAGGTGACGGGCAAGAAGAAATTGCAAGAGAAAACCAAGAGGAGAAGGAAGAAAGAGGAGGCCAAAGTAGATCCCAAAGGGCCCCAGGTGGGAATCCAGCAGAGCACAGCCCGATCCTCATTCACCAGGGCTCTGGGTGTGACCCTTATCTGTTGCTGTAGCCTGGCGGAAGCAGGGATAGCAACACTCACACACAGCATGGTCAACACTGTCACACAGTGTGGAGATTTCCTTAAAAAGACCTCCAGAGCCTACCCTGTCAGAAATCGTGAACTGGGCAAAATGTGGCCTTTCCAGAAAAACAACATTGGGAGTCTAGAGGGCAAAGTTACAGCTCAACAACCCAGGTTCTGGTGGAAGAGAAAAGTGAATCCAGGAGACAACTGATGAAAACAAAACTAAACCATAATGACATAATAAATCTCATGTGCCCAAAAAACAGTTTCAATAATAATTCATTTTGGACTGAGGTGGTTCTGCCCAGAGTGGGTTGTGGTGAAACTATGGCAGGTATGCACCACTGAAAGCTCCAACAGGTTTGCCATCACTGGCTTACACCCTTCCTGGACCCCTCAACCACCTCATCCCACCAGGTTTCGCTGAAGGAAATCTCAGACCTACGTCCATTTCCTCTGTAACACTTCCGTATGTGGGGGAGGACTCTGCCCAACAGCACCCCATGGAACCACCAAGGGAAAGTAACACTTGGGGAAAAAGTACAAGAGAAGCCACTGGAGAAAAATTTTGACAGTAAGTCAGGTGAGGAAAGGAAAAAGAAATTAATTCCTAGGAATTATGATCAGAGCTTGGTGACATTGTACTCTTTACCTGCAACAGAAGTTTCCATTTCCACTCCTTTTTACTAAAGAAATGGTAGGACAGAAATCAGACAGTTCACAGGGAAAAACAAGACCAGTGTTGGGGGAAAATCTACCCACTCCATACGGTTTAACATGAAAGCAACATATGTGAGCTTCGTTGGTCCGTGGTGACAACACTTTTAAAAATATATGGGCCGTGACCATATTTTTAGAGTTTGTATTTATTTTGCTTCATTCCATGAGATGTAAACTGGGATATTCAGTTATAAAATAGCATTTTATTGCTTCTTGGTAATTCCCCAAGAGAGGAAAATAAAGTTTCTTTCCCTCCAAAAAAGTGATAAATGTTTAATAAAACATCTAGACTTTTCCCTCTTAAAGGTTAGGCATGACGTTAGAATATTTTTGTAAGAATGTGATAGCTTCCACCTGAATTTAGCTGATGAATCGGAATCCAGGTACGCCTATTGAAAATGGAGAAATTCTTGTGGCTTCCAAGACAGGATTTACCCTTCTGTAGGAGGAATTGCCCATCAAAGGAGCATTCCGTCATTAGGAAGGTTCATAGACTGACCCCCCCAAAGGAAACACCCACTCGGAAACTACGGATAAGACTTTGGAATGTCAGATTTAGCTCAAATTGGTAGCTTCTTACAAGAAAAAGTACGACTACTTTCTCTTTCACATGCGCCCCAAGCAGCCCCACGCAATGTCCGTAATGCATTCTTCAGCAAACAGGCAGCTTTAAACTCAACTCCTCCCCGAGAAGTGTGTAAGGAACCAGAAGCAAATATGCAAAAAGTTACTTAGAAAGCACAAACGTTTTTAAGCAAAAGAGGAAAAGTTCTTACAAGGCCCATTTAGGATTTCACCAAAAATTAAACCTTTCTCAGTGAGTCCTGGACCAAGTGACCCGGATGAGAGAGTCCCGCACCCCACCCCACCCGACTCCTCCACTGTTCCGTCACCTTCAGGAGTGTGGCTGGTACAGCTGTAGTTGTGAATCCCTGTGCCACAAACATGGGCTCTGTGTTCACAGTATGGTTCTTTTTTCCCCTCTCTTCTCTCCTTTTATTTGCTGCCCTGGTGATATTTGCTGCCTCAGTTTTATACCTCTGGTTCTCATTAAATAAAAGTCAGGAGTAGAAGACTGTAAATCTCTTTATGTTCTGTGTGGGTCGGAGGCAGCCAGTCCCCATCCCAGCCTCGGGACCACACTGCCAAAGCCACCGTTCCAGCCCCGGGGGACGGAGGCCGGGCAGAGAGGGGAACAGGGAGGCTGTCTTGCCGAGGGCCGCTCACCAGAGTATACTTTCCCTTTCTCGGGTTTGTTTTCTCAGCTGGTGGTACACGCTCTGCTCCAGGACCACGACTGCTGGTGGGAAACAGCTCCCTCCAAGATCTAACGGTCCGTTTTCAAGAAGTGGTTTGGAGCTTAAAAGAAGGGAGCTCAGTCAGAACTCCGTGCCCAGCTCTCTTCTGTTTTTCTTAGTACATGGAAATATGAGCTGTGTAAACAGTTCGGATTTCACATTCCACCTGTAGCAAAATCAGCCAAAGGAGACAAGAAAGGCTCTTTAGACCTTTCCCCACCTCTAGATTCTTTGTTTCTCGTGCGGGCGGGCACGCACACCCCCACACACCCACACACACCCACACGCACACACGTGCCCGCCACTGTCCTTATCCCAAGGAAAAGACCTTTAACCAAAATGTATTATCCTTACGACATCCAGTGACTCACAGACTTTCCTGCCCGAGGTGGGATGCCTGTGATCCCCTCACACTGTAAGGAGGGTTTTCTTCATCTTTTCTCTCTCTAACCTAATACCAGTGAAAGCTGAGCAACTTCGTTGAAGATAACAGCATGTAGTGTAGCGGCCACTGTTAATTCCTATTATTTTGTTTTGAGGTCATGTATCGTTTTTTTTGTTTTTTTTTTTTGTTTTTTTTTTTTTTTTTTTTTTTTTGTTTTTTTTGCAGTACCGGGAACTGAACTCATGACCTTGCGCTTGCCAGGCAGGCGCTTTTGCCGCTGAGCTAAATCCCCAGCCCCATGTATCGTTTTTGTTGTTTTCATGTTGTTTTGATTTTGTCTTCATTGTTGTTTTGTATTTTTAATTTTTAAGATAAAAAATGTCAAAAAAGAAAAAGAAAAAGAATCTAGCTAACAGCTCTTAGCAGAGAGCCAAAGAGGACTCAAAGGTGTTTCTTCCTCAGGCAATCTGAGAAGTAACCCACCTCCTTTCCATCAGTGTCCTACAAAAGACTGGGCTCTTTCCTTTTATCTCAGCTGGAACGTGGTCTCAGAGCTTAGATGGGCAAAGTGGTCACAGAGCTTGGATCTGTCACATTGCAGTCACTCGGATCAGCCCCTTCACAGAGGCCAATTAGCACCGACAGAAAGAAATGAGTGGTTAGAGATGACACAAACTAGCTTTGCAAAGCTCCTAATCCAGGAAAACGCAGGGAAATGGGTTCCAAATGCCTTCCAGGCCTCCAGTTGTAGCTTCTATATACTGAGACAAGGGCTTGATAGCCTTCAGCTGTCTCTAGTGAGGAGGTAAAACCTGCCCCATTAACCAGCAACTCAGCTGCCTGGAGCCCAGGGGAAGCAGCCAGCGAGACTGAGACAGGGAGGCCGGATTCCTGCTCCAGGTGGCTGCTCTTGCCTTGGGGTGGGGGGTGGAAGGTTCTTTGTGCTTTACATTCTCGGGCTTCCACAGATGACTGAAGGGGAGAGGAGGGGAGGGGAGGGAAAGAGTAAAAGAGAGGGAGAGAGAGACTGGGGGGAGCCAATGTGAAGGAGGTGGGTAGGCCCCACATGTAGCCATAACTCCAGCTTCTAATTTCCAGTTGTCAGGATTCATCTCACAGAAAAATGAAAGCTGAAAAGAACGTGTAATCTTCTAGAGAGAGACCCCACAGTATCTCCAGATGTTTTGGGTTATCCTATGGGGAGGGCAGAGACTTAGGCTGAGAGGAGTAAATATGTTCATTCCCCGCAAGGAGGAAGGTCACCAAGTGGAGAACGACTTCTCTGTCTTTGGAAGTATCAGATTTCGGCAGAAGGAGCCAGGAATAAGATACCATTTGTTAACTTTGCTAATCCATTAAGTAGATGTGGGACAACCCTGCTATTATTTGGAGCTCTCAACTGTGTATCCTCTGACAAGGAAACAATGTCCTGCTGAGTTTAGGTGTGGTGTGTGCTAAGACGACATAAAACTTTCAGCAGCTTTAGACCAAGCTGATTTTTATTTTAGGGAACAGCGCATATTGAGTCAGGAGGAGAGAGAAACTACAGCCCTCCAGCCCTTCTTCAGGAAGTGCAGTGTGAGGGAATTAATGGTTGGCTTAAATGGAGGGTGGGGATTTTTATCAAATCTATCCTTAATACAAAGTTTGTATTGTGTGTGTGTGTGTGGGTGCTCTCCCTAATGAAATAGCTCAGAATCATGTAAACTTTTTGAACTACAGGTGTACTTGTACCCCAGTTTCTCATGATATTGATGTTTCTAAAATCCAAGATCCAGCCAGGCATGGTGGCACACTCCAGAGATTCCAGCACCTGGAGGGCTGAGGCAGAAGAATCACCATGAATTTGAGGCAGCCAGGGCTCCACAGTGAGACCCTGTGTAACAACAGCATCACCCAAGCCCTGGGAGGCGGTTCGGGAAACAGGAGCACACCAGTGCATGCGGCAGCCGAGCAGGCACTGGAGACTACGGAAGCCGGGGTGGGGCTCCACGGCTCCAGCTCTCTGCTCCCTGCCACACGTCAACTGAGCGTTGGGTTCCGGGCAGCAGCTCTTTCTGTCCTCCAAACGCACCTTCCATGGGTAGTTTGAGCACCATGAGGGTGAGGGCCAGGGTGGGGGCTGAGGCTTGTGCCGGATCCCACGTGGAAGAGGAGGATGCTTGAGGTTCCTGGAAACCCAAGCCTTCCATCTCCGTTCTGCATGACTTGCAGGTGATTCACCACACGGGCCAGCCAGAACCAGCCGCACCATCCTTCCTCATTCCCACGACACGGGGCAGGGCATGACAGGCACAGAGGGCAAACTGAAAGCTCGGGTTCAATGGTTCCCTTTCTTTTTGCTTCCTGTTCCCCTGACAGTGACCCACTGACTAGGAAGTGAAAGGCTGACAGGAGAGACAAGCTGACAGACAGAGTGAATCGGAGGCTAAACCGCAAGCGAGAAGCCAGGGCTTGGCCCAGGCCCTCAGCAGTGCAGGCAGCTGCGGGCGCTACCACACCCGGGTGTCACCAGCTCCTCCTCCCAGAGGCCTCCTGACGGGCAAGCGTGCTCTCACCTGGCTGATGTCCATCCCTTCTTCTGCAACCAGCACCTCATTTTTCCTGTGGGACCCACCCTGCTCCAGGCTTGGGCCTTTGATGGTCGGCAGAGTGCCCAGCTCCTGAGGAGTGCAGGACACAACTGAGGCTGTCGAAGCAGTCCACCTGCCTGGCCTTAGAGATGGACTCAGGGGTGAGTTCACGGGCTGGGTAGGATCAAAGAAGTGCTACCGGGGGAAGTCTGGTAGTGAAAAACTTTCTCTTTCTATTGAACTTGCCAACCATGAAGGTATTGTGGGCTCAGAGCGCCAATGGCCCCACATGACAGCAAAGCCCATAGGTAGAGGGCAGAGCCCAGATATCGAGGGCAGAGGCCAAATCTAAATGGCAGAACCAAAACAGTCTGTAATTCGGATGTGCCCCACAAAATTGCCCATGTTGTTAATTAATTCCCTAGAGTTAATCCCAAACTCACATGTATGGTCCTTGGAGATGAGGCCTTTGGGAAGTCATTGGAATTATGTGACCCATGATGAAGGCTACCATGCTTGCTACCTTGCCATGTGACCCCTCCACCATGTTGTAATGTTGCAAGGAGACTCCACTAGGTGGAAGAGTCATGCTTGTGGGCTTCCTAGCCTCCAGAACTGCAAGTCAAGTAAACTTTTATTCAGGAATAATTGATAAATGACCTGGCCTTGGGTATTTTGTTATTGCAACAGAAAATAGACAAGATGAGACCTGTGGATTCAGTTGTCACTAAGGTCAAATCCAGTGCTATTTAGTATATTCCATTTTTCCATACTTACACTTCTGCCATGTCATCAAAATAGTACAAGGTTCATAGAACACACATCTGCACATATCTATGGGAAAAGACAGGGGAACTCTGATGCAATGGCAAGTTGTGTCAAAAGAGTACAAAACATTCAGTCTGATTCTCCCCATCATTAGCAGAGATGCATTTATTCCAAGGCCCCATGTAGCATCTCGGTCATGAAATCTCACTGACTGGGGAAGACATAGTGCAGTGGTTGCCTCTGATCTGATCACTGCTTTGAATCAAGAGTGAACCATGCAGTGACTGCAGGTACAAGGCCAGAGATAGACCACCTAACAGCCTAGGAGAAAAGATGGTTTGCTAGATGAGGGAAAGGAAATAAGAGAAGGAGTTGGAAGGAGGGAGGATGAAGAGAACAACCTCAGGAATATTACACTGTGAGTCGTTTGCAGCACATCTGACTGGTGGGGTCCTGTTGGGATTACATATGCATTTTTCAAGGTAAGCATGGGAGATACTCAGTTTGGAGTCAATGATATTTAGGCATTGGAGGGGGAGGAGCAACACTCAGAAAAACTGTGAACCAATGGATGACCACCCAGAGACGAGGTTTAGAGAAAAACGAATATACCACAGACAGTCCTCGACAGGACAGGAGTGTTTACAGTGCTGGGCCAAGGAGAGGGAACCAAGAAGAAAAATGGCACAGAGAAAGAGAAACCAGTAGGAAATATCACCAAAACTAAACAAGAGAGTGTTTCCAGAAATGAAAGCCATTGGCAAAACCAAATGCCATGGAGAGGTCAAAAAGTGGAAAAGCTATGAAATGCCCCAAGAATGTGGTGGCATTCTGGGGAGCTTCTGTTCTCAGTGTGACAGTGGCATAAACTCCACAGGACACACGGAGCCCTCCTCCTCCAAGAGGAGGGGCCCCTCACGTGTCTCTGCCTCTGCTCTCGGTACACTCGATAGCAGCACTCAACACGTTCGGGGAAACAATTTCTTCTGACATTTTTCTTTGGTTTTAAACTATTAGCTCCTCTAGGCCAGGGACTCTAGATTGTCCAGATTGTTCTTTTAAGCTATTGAATTTAGGTATAACTTACATCTAGAAAATTGTAACATTATCATTATACAGCTCAGTTGATTTTTACATAACCCCCACCTAGATCCATATATACATTTCTAGACTCCTACCTCTTAATGCCTCCCAGCCTTACTATGATATCAAATGTCTGGCTATCTGAGGACATTTGCCTGACCGTGTCCAGTTAGCATGCACCTATGCCATTCTTAATACAGTGATGCCTCGGTTCACTAACTCAGTTCTTTCCATGATTCTGGTCAAGAACCGAGTTGATGAGAGCAGAATCAAATTCAGTGGTTAGGACCAATGTTGACCTTATGAGGAAATTTGATTCGGTTCTCATCCAACTTGGTTTGTGACCACAGTTGTGAAGAGAACTGGGTTGTTCTGAAGGTCTTGCTATATAAGGATGAAAGAATAAACTGGATATATCAAACTTGGAGTCCATGGTGATTCGGTACTGAGGAAAGAATTAATTTATCACCATGGATTGGTTCTTGCCCGGTTTTGAATTTAATATAAATGGAATCATGGGGCTTGTTCCCTCAGAAATGTCAGTTTTCATTCAAGGTGGCACACAGATTGTTGCATGTAACACAATCTCTTCCTTTACACTGCTGTATATTACATATATATATACCACAGTTTATATGTCCTTTCTTCTGTAGCTGGACTTTTGGGAGTTTGTTCCCAGGTTATGGATGTAAAGATGAAGGTTGTAATGAGCAGTCTGGTGCACATCTTTTTGTGGATATAGAATTCATTTTGCAGGTCTAAGCTGAGGAATGTGAGTCTTTAATCTGTCATTCTTGCATTTCTCCCCCTCATCCTATAGGAGGGTCAGTAAACTGGATGAGTAATAAGTACAAGCTGCTCTTGTTATCATGTGCAATTTTTCAACAGATCTCTTGTAGAAAGTTATGTTAATGCTACTCTATAAGATATTTTCTTTTTAATCTTTTACCAGCCCATGTTTGATGTACATAACGGTTATGCTCCTCATGGGGAGTTGAGGTATGCACTTAATACATCTTATAGCATCATCAGTAAATATTGTTGGATCAGTTCCTGAGTAAGGGTATCAAAATCTAAAGAGAAGCCTGTAAGTTCAGTTAGCTTAAAACAAAGGCCTTCTCTCTAAACAAGTCATAATACAAGCTCAATTATTTGACCTACATGTAACTATACAAAATTTTATTAAGTGAAGTAAACAGTCTTTGTAATGAATAAGACAAAATATGAAGAACTTGGTTTCAAGTAGGACTTGGGAAGCAGGATCTGCAGTTTTGCCAAGGGAAGGGATGAGACACATATTTTACCCTAGGTTGGAAGAAAGTCTGTATTAATGTAACTATTTTTGCACGCACACACACAAAAAGTTTGGTCAGGGACCTCAACAAATATCCCAAGAATAACATGACAAGAAAGACAACCCACCAATCAAGAGACCACATTTTTGTTTTTCATATGAGTACCTGCTTTGGTTTTCACTGGTTAGTAGAAATGAATAGCGTCGGAAAGCCAAGACAGCATGACAAATCAGCTTTCATCACGTGGCGAGCTATGCCTGGACGGTGCCAGGGTTTGAAGTTGCTGCCACTTCCTCCTTGTCCTCTGTTCCCTTCATGGGTAGAGTCTGACCACAAGCTTGGCCTGAGTTTGTGAGAAAAGAGGTGAAATCTTACCTGAAAGAAGGATAAAAGGAGCTGGGAGACAACTGACTTCTGGTTTGGACCCAAGCCTTTTTCTTCATTCCATCTCCCTCCTCCTACCCCCTGCCCAGCCCAGCGCCCTAAGGCAGGGCTCGAGTCCAAACTCAAGCCAATAGGATTTAGTGCTGTTTTTCTAGGTCTCCTCCAGCACCCGTGGAATCTTTCCAAGAGGGAAGTGACCCCCTGCCCATCTAGCTTAAAATATCAATAGAAACGATTAGAGAAGTAATTTAGGCAGAGAGCACTGGTGAGGTGAACTCAAGGCCGTTCGTCCTCTGTGGCTGACAAACATGGTTAGGAAATAGACGCCAAGTTAAAAAAGAGATGAAGACAAAGGAAAGACAGGACGTTCGGGACTGGATCTGTTCCAGAGAAGGCGGATGAGTGAGTCTACTCTTAATATCCAGCTCCTCTCAAGAACTCAATGGTCAGCTTCAATACAATGACACACTCATCACAGCTCCATGACCTCGCATTAATAGCTGGAAATTTCAACAGAAAATGACTTGAAGAAGTAACCTGGTGTCCTTCCACCTGGGGCACAAGGGTCTGCAGAACTAGCAAGGGTGAGGCAGACAAGGTAAGTGGAAGTTCTCCTTGCCAGTACCTGGTACCTGAATCTGGACCATTCAGAAATCACAGTGGCTTCGCATGGAGGCACCTGGCCAGGTCCCCCTGGGGAACAGAACAAAAAGAAACATTGTCTTTGTGATTGTACTTTCTCGTTGGACAGTGACCAACCATCCTAAAGTATCCAGGACACTGTCGGGTTTCAGTTGTTTGAGTATAAATGTACAACACAAGCAAAGAAAATGCAGGCTGGGAAGGGAGGGCAGCTGCAGAAGCCGTGAGACCCCAGCCATCTCTGAAGAACACTCGGTCCCCTCAAAGATTCATAGCTGACACATCCCAGTGCCGTCCTCCTTGCTCTGTGCACGTGGAATTCCACACAGTCCGTGTGCTATGGTTTAGTTCTTGACTGCAAGTTCTCAGAAAACGTAGTCAACTAAATTTAAAATTCCCCAAGAAAAAGCACACAACAGGGATTGCCTTCATGGGGCACAAATGCTATAGGGCAGAGTCTTTGTCTCTTTTGTTCTTTTCTGTTCTCCAAATGCCTAGCGTAGTTCATGTACACCATAGGTGCCAAATAATGTCAAACGGATACATCTGTGGAGCCAGCTGTCTTGGACTCAACAAGCCAACTATTCCTAAGGTTGTGTTTGTGTGCTGGCCAAAATATAGATTGAGCCTTACCAGAAGTCTGCACTTTTAATAAGCTCTTCAGGCAATGTCTATCCACAAGGAGTGTGCGCTACATTTTTTAGACTTTCTTTCTTTCTTTCTTTCTTTCTTTCTTTCTTTCTTTCTTTCTTTCTTTTGGTACCAGGAATCAAACTCAGGACCTTGTGCTTGCCAGGCAGGCACTTGTGCTGCTGAGCTATATCCCCAGCCCTAGACTTTAAAGTAGTGTTTTTCAAATTTAGTTTTAGCTCTTGAACTTTTCCTTCAAATGTCAGTCTATAATTTCCTAATGGATAAACCCAAAGAAACTGATTTAAGCAGAGAGTGGGACAAGAGAGGTCTTCAGAAACAATTTTCTCCTTGTAGTGGCCTTTGAAAGGATGCAGCTGGCCTCCCCACAGCCTGGAATGGAAAGTGTAAAGCTCAAGGCCTACCAGTTTCAGGAATTTTTTTTTAATGTTAACTTTTTCTTATACTTCTTGTTGCATCAGACTCCACTAACATTCAAAATGCCTCCACCTGGAAGATGCTTATGTATAAATTCCCATCTGTAAGCACAACTTTCCTCCCCTGCTCTACCATGACCACTGCCACTCAACTTCAGCATGACTTCCGCCCCTCTTTTTCCTCTGCTGAGGTCACTGCCTTCTGTATTCTGCATCTGCATTAGCTCTGCATCCGTGTGACAAATACTTGAGAAAACATCTTAAAAGAGAAAAGGTTATTTTGGCTCATGTTTCAGAAGGTTCAGTCCATGCTCAGCCTAATTGCTTTAGACCTGTGGCGAGGCAGAACATCATGGTGGAAGGTTGTGGTGGAGGAAAGCTGCTCACATCATGGCAGCCAGAAAGAGAGTAAGCAAAAAAAAAAAAAAAAAAAAAAGAAGAAGAAGATGGGGCTGGGGATAAGCTATAGTTCTCAAGGCCACTACTGCATGATGTACTCCAGTCAACTAGGCCTTAGCCTCTACCTAGGTCTCTATCGCCTCCCATGAATGCCATCAGATTATGAATCTATCAATGGATTCATCCACCAATGAAGTTAGAGTCCTCATGATCTAATCATCTTCTCAAACCGCCACCTGTGAAGACATGAGTCTTTCAAGGGCCATTTTAAATAAAAACCATAATAGGCTATATTTTCCACAGCCTCCCATACCTCCTGCCACATAGAACTTCTGCTGGCCTGGCCTGTGCTAATTTTAGCCCTAGATTACCCTGATTATCTGTCTTCTCTATTCCTCTTCCTCTATTTCCCTGTGTTGTTAACCAAACCATCACAATCACATTCACACTTACTGAAACTCATGTGTTTGAAACTTAAAGGGAACCATGGTCCTGCACAGTAATCCACTCCACTTCTATGGTTCAGTGCCACTTTCCTTCCCTTCCTCCATGAAGGCCATATCTAGTTTACCAGCTTCAAGGCAACAACTACCTTACAGAGATCACAGATGCAGATGCCACCTGCACATGCTTTTCAACTCCCGTCCACTCTTCCCTAACCTATTCACATACTTACTGTTGCTTTTCCCAGAAAGCAGTCTTCCTCACCCCCTTCTAAGATAATTCCCTTCCATACCTCTTTCTCCATCTCCTCCCTTCTCATCTGGGATGTCCCATCTACTGTACCTTCTTCCTCTCTCTTTCCACTGTCCTACTCTTAAGCCAGGAAAAAAATACATTAAGGAAAATAAAATACAGGCCCTACTGACTCTGAGCTCCCTCAAACCACTTGCCATCCCATCTGCTCTCTCACCTCCAAACTTTATGAAAATGTTCTCAATGAGTATCACTATATTCTCATCATCTATTTATGCTTCAACCAATGCAGACTAATGTTTACCCCTTATCCTTTCAAGAAATGGTCTCTCAACAGTAACAACCCTTCTCATAGTGAGAATCCATGACTTGCTCCTCACCGACAGAACATGGCAAGGGTATGGAACATCGTTTTAAAGACTACATTGTGTTACATCAGACTCTACTTTGCTAATCGATTCTCTCTAGGATCTTGCTCTCTTCATTCACTTTGAATAAAGAATAGTTTTGACAATAACCTAAGGGAGTTTGGAAATGGATTCTTCTTCAGCCGAGTCTCCAGGTGAGAACACAGACCAGCCAAAACCTTGGTTGCAGTCCTGTGAGACCTGAGCAGAGGGCCTGCCTGAGCTATACACAGCCACTTGGCCCACAGAAACTATGAGACAGTAAGAGTGTTGTCTGAAGCTCTTATATGTGTGGCACTTTGTATTCAGTCATAGAAAACATACATCAGACCATGTGACTCCTGGGCTCAAATTCTCCAGTGGCCTCCATTACAGTAAGGATAAAACCCAACATTGTCACCATGGCCTATAAGTTCAACATCATCTGGCCCCTACATCTCTCCAGACTCATTGTCTCTCAGTCTGCCTTTGTCGCATTCCACCAGAGAGACTCTACACTGCTCTTTATGCTGTTCCTCAAATACCTGCATCCACTTTTATCCCATTCCCTCTGCTTAGAGCTCTCCACCTCCAGATCCTCACCATGGGCTCACCCCTTGACTTCACTTAGGAGTTTACTCAAGAATCAGCACCTTGCAGGAAGCTCCCCCATTCACACCCCTGCTCCAGGGCCTATCAACACCTGAAATAATTACATCTGTTTAATCATCATTGATTTCCTATACTGGAAAGTAAGCTCCTCGGGAACAGTAACACGATGGGTTTCATCTAAGAATGGTGTCTCAGACATTGCCTGACACTCGGTGATTGTAATACTTGTTGAGTTAGTGGATAAACTATTCTACTCACCTACCTGAAGCATTCCACATTGTTGATGGCATCCTACAAGTTTCCCCCAAGTACTGTTCTTCTCCAGGTTCTCTTCTTACTTCTCTGATTAACTGTCATCCACAGTAAGCTTTGCCAACCACTTCTCTTCAGAACACCCATGGACATTCTACAGAACTGTAGCCCTTGGACTGTAGATGGACAAATGACCCTAAGTGGAACCTAGAATTCTCTCCCAGAGATCTGGAATACTCAGCTGATGGATCTTAACCACTTTCCTACATTGTCCTGCCAGGTAACTCATTTTTTGTGTAGTTTTCGGTAAAAAATGCTTTGTTATTTCTGTGCCTACTTGACATCAACAATGCGTGATTGACAAGAAAGGATGAAGTCCTTTACTGGCATTCTCATATCCGGACTCACATCTGGGAATTATGTAACATACAAGTTGTACAAAGGTCTATCGCTACACATGTGCAGAATTCTGGGAGGACAGGACAGGCCAGGCTCAGGTGAGACTGGGGACAAGGTAATCCCACTGAGACGGCAGATGTGAGGCAGCAGACACTATGTGACATGTCAGATGTGATAATGTTGCACCTTAGCAAGTTTTTAGGTGTGTATTGTCTTACACTGATAATGAAATCATGAGCAATAGCCAAGGTATTAAGTTTTTTCTGTGCAAGTGAGAATTTTGTTAGTTCTGTATTAACTTGCATGCCGGGGTAGATATATTTGCCATCTCTAACCCTCAGTTTTGGATATGTGTAATCAAAATATCCAGTGGTTCTGAATATTGTTTTAATAGGAGTTGTAAATGTGAACTTATAAAATAGGAAATGCTAATACATGAAGAAGGAGCTAATTATGGTATTCCAGCTTAGCCTCTTGAATGGAAGCAGACCTATCATCCACCATCTGGATTAATTCAAGGAAAAGCCAATCTGCAGGGAAAAAAACAGATTCTGC